CTGCCCCGTACAAATAATCCCTCAACTTATCCACCACCGCCCACTTGAGTGCCAAAAATTCCAGCTTATGAGTGGGATAATTTTTTCCCCCAGGGGTTAGACCCCTACTGATATATGCAATGGGCTTTAAACGTTGATCATGCTCCTGATATAATACTCCCCCAAGACCATCCCGACTGGCATCTACATGTAGTTCATATGGCCGATTGGGGTCGGCATAAGCTAAGACTGGGGTATTTGTGAGCCTCTGCTTCAGCTGATCAAAAGCCTGTTCACAACGCTCAGTCCATTCTGCCTGAATGGATTCTCGTGACTTCCTGGGTCCCCTAATTTTATGGGTTGGATTCGAATGGCCCACTGTATCCTCTACCTGCTCATTTTTTAATAACGCATTAAGCGGACGAGCTATCTTAGCAAACCCTTTCACAAATCTCCGATAGTATGAACAAAACCCCAGAAACGATCGCAATTCAGCAACACTCTGAGGCCTGGGCCAAGAAACCACGGCCTCAAGCTTAGCGGGATCCGTTGCCACTCCCTCGGCTGAGACGACATGCCCTAAATGATGTCATCTAGATAAACCAACACCTCTATCAGGTTCATGTCCCCTACTGTCCGTTCCATAAGCCTTTGAAAAGTTGCTGGAGCCCCTGACAACCCTTGGGGCATTCGATTGAACTCATAAAATCCAAGTGGACAGATGAATGCTGTTTTCTCCCTATCCTCGGGGTGCATGGGGATCTGATGGTAGCCACTCCTTAAATCTAACACGCTGAACCACTTTGCCCCTGACAAACACTGCAGAGCATCCTCTATCCGAGGAGTTTTATACTGGTCGGGGATGGTCCTCCGATTAAGGGTACGATAATCTATACACATGGAATCCCAGGGTAAGAAGAAAGCCTGGTGGTGATATCCTCTTCGTATTCCCGAAGCTCTGAGGGATTACTGGGGTCAGGAAAAATTGAGACGATCCACGAGGGCTTCTAGTAGATTTAGTGAGTTCCCCTAGGTGGCCCTGGAATAGGGAGTCAGCCTAAAGTACGACCCGTGAGAATCGCGTCGGGTGTAGTTTTAGATCTCTCGAGAATAAATGCCTCCACTTCCAGAGCTGCTCCCTCACTCTCTCTCGCCACTCAAGAGGAAGCTGAGTATTCCCGGGATAAAACTGGTCCATCGAGACCTCTCCCTCCTTCTCTCCATCCAGAGACTCAATTGGAGTGACTGGGCTCACCTGCCCCAACAACATCCGATCCTTCAGTCGCACAGGGAGACCTGTGATATTCCGAACTCCGACCAAGATTCGTCCCTTTTCCCGCTTCAACACCCGCGTGGGGATTACCTCTGGGATCAATTCCACTCCACCATTCTGTCCCTGCGGGCCAGTTTCCAGGATGAGATACGGCCCAGGCTACTCCCAATCTAACTTAACAGACGCCCTCAAGCACACCACCTCCCCAGGTTGTATTACCCTCTTTTTCTTATCGAATTTCCATAACCGTCCCACTCCCTCTACAGGGGCCTGCTGCTCCCGCACTATACCCTGACATACTGTCTGCAGCGCAGGGTGAACATCCCTCACTATTGGATCATTTCCCAATGGAATGACTGGGGTAAGCAACCGCCTAACTAAACTGGTGTTAGTCCCTACAATCAGTGAGCCCTGGCTAACGCCCGGAGGGCGAGCACATATGATAGCCAAAGTATCCAAGGTCTCCGTATGCCCAGCAACAGAGGGTCCAAACGTCAGCCGTACAGGCAAACATCCAGATCTGTCTTTTAGAAATACCAAGAATTTCATCAAACTTGTCTCATTATCAGACAAGGAATAAGGACTTTGTATCATGCAGTTTTTGGCATATTCTTAGAAATTGATGTCATCCTGAAAATAATGTTAATTGTCTCAAACAAGCCTTTAGCCATTTAGAGGTAGTTTTACAATACTCTACTCAGAAATGATGTATTAGTTTGGAAGGTCCTCTCCAAGAGAAGACGAAAAGACAGAAGAAAATAAAAGTTTATTTATGGGTGTTAGGGATAGTTGGGAGAGAAAAGGAAAAAGGTTTATCTGAATATGATTAAATAATGAGTTATTTCTGTGGTGTTGAATGGGTATTTGGATATTTTTTTGAAAATATCTAATGAGGTAATAGATTAGTTTTTGACATCTAAATAAGGGGTGCTTTGGTATAACTTAATAGCTTTTATTTTCTTTTTTTGTAATGTCTAATTGTTTTATTGGATCTGTGCTTATTTATAAGGAGAGAAAAGATTTAAAAATGAGTTTATAGAAAATAGAGTGAGGTATGGAATGAAAAAATATCTTCTTGTATTATAAGAGACAGCAATGAGTTGTTAATGAAGTTAACATTTGGACTTTGCAACAAACTAAGAGAAATGTAATTCTGATTTTGGGATTTGATCATTGAATTATATCTGTAAAGAGCTACCAGAAACAACAACATATATATTTTAATCTTGATCAAATAAATCCACTTTATATTCTTTCTGTTTACGATTTTAAAACTTGATTTTTAATCTTTTCAAATAATGTCCCACAAGTTTTCTTATCGTTTTCTCTGTCTCCTCTCAGAAACTCCTTCACTGATTTAACATGTCTATTTTGTACATCCAAGATAAGAAAGCTATTCAAGTCATTTTTCTGATTTATTATTTGTATGTCACCTTTCATTATTAAGACAATAGCCAGTTTCATTTGCCTTCTTCATGAGTTTCATTTGTATTTCCAATATGGCATCTTTTTCCATATTAGCTTTGTAGTCGGCATTTTTAAATCCATTTTCAGATCCATATTCAAATCAGTTTTGGTCTGTTTTGTGCAGTAAAAGCTGTTCCTCTTCTGTAGTTATAAAAGGTTTTTTTTAATGGGTTAGAAAAGTTGCTTGGATTTAATTGTCTGATTGTTCTATGATATAGCACAGACATGTCAAACTTGCGGCGTCACGTGACGTCACGTGACTTTTTCCCCATTGCCGGCAATGGGGTAGACGTGGTTTTGGAGTGACGGATCCGGCCCACGGGCCGGCAGTTTGACATGCCTGATATAGCAAATAAAGAAGCATTGGATTATTAAGCTTCCTAGCACCTGGTTAAATTAGATGTGCTCTATCTATGACTATCTTAATGCTCAACAAACAATGTTTTGAATATTTCAGGAAAAATTGATTAAAATTGTCTACCCCCTCAGAAATAATTTCCTTGGCATGTGGGATGTAAATAAAAATTATTTACATTTAGCTAAATCTTCCATGTTCTTTTCTAGTACTGGATGAATGAATACACTTCCTCCCTTGGAATTGGAGTATTTCACTCAGGAATTGAGATATATGGCAGAGGTATGTACCTTACTTTAGCCTTATATTTTTTTTACTAAAAGGAATAATTAAAATGGAACTTCTAGTGTGTGGTTAGTGGGGAGATTTGAAGGAGCAGAACATCAGTTTCTAAAATTGAATTTATCACAATCTAGCTTTCCCAGTTGGATTTGTTAAGCGAAGTGCAAGGAGAAGACTTGGGCTTCCTGGGCATGGTGGGGCAGAGAGAGAACCTAGGTTTTCCACCACACCCAAGAGACTTGGGCCTTTTCCCCACCCCACCCTGTCTGGAAGGCTTGGGCTCACGCCATGCCCCATTATGCCTAGGTTGACTTACCATTCCATGGAAGAGGGGGGAAAGCCATGGTGGCGCAGTGGTTAGACTTCAGTATTGCAGGCTAACGCTGCCCACTGCCAAGAGTTTGGTTGTGACCGGCTAAAGATTGACTCAGCCTTCCATCCTTCTAAGGTTGGTAAAATGAGGATCCAGATTGTTGGGGGCAATATGCTGTCTCTGTAAACCACTTAGAGAATGATATAAAGTACTATGAAGCGTTTTATAAGTATAATTGCTATTGCTATTGCTTTCCATTGTTTTGCAGCTGGTGAGCTGAGGCCAGCCCACTTCATCCTGCAAACAGGCCCCATTCCCGTCATTGTTAGCACGATTTGGAGAAGGGGCCTTCTGAATGATCATGAGAACAATGGTGTTCAGAGGAGAAATCCCTTGACACATTAGAGGAATGGATCTCAAGTCTGGTGAAAACTCTTAACAAATTCCATCATTCTGGAAGGCTCAGAATGCTGATTTTTGCTAGCATTTTCCTCTCCAGTGGGGCAGAAACAATAGCAGAACAGACAAATCCAACATCTATTCTGCTTACAATTTCCTTATCTGCTTTCTCATTGATTTTCTGGAGAGGCTAGCAGAGAAGATTGTAAATGGCAATCAGATGATACAGGGTGCTTTAGCAACTGGTCGTAAATGTGAACAGGTGACCAAGCATCTGAAATATGTTCATATGACCAGGGGAGCATGGCACATTTACGACAGCCAAAACTGTAATAATTCTGATTTTTTATTCATAATTTATACATAAAGATACTTTGTTTGTTTATAGTTCATCTTTCTTAACCACCTGTCTCCCTTGGAGGAGGGAGATTTACTTGGTATAAATAGCATTTGCCTTGCTATCTTTCAACCTAATATTCCCAACTAAAATATAAATCTTGCATATTATAAGTACCAAGTCTTATGGTTTGTCTAGATTTTGTATATGATAGTACATCAGTTTTAAGCATGACTGGTAAATTATTTATATAGGGAAGACAACCATTATTAACAACTAAGGATAATATCTTGAATTTGTCTTTCAGAATTTGCTTATGGTGGTCATCCATATCCTTTTTCTGGAATATTTGAAATTTTACCAGGCAATGCATCTGAATTAGGAGAAACATTTAAATTCAAGTAAGCAATTTTCATTAGTGTGTTCTCAAATTTATGATCAAATACAAAAGTAGCTGCCCATCTCCTGTTAATAAAAGGAGCCAATTTTAATCCTTATTTAGAATAGAAAAATACTAATTGTTGTGCTGTCTTATAAAAAGCTCTTCCCGTAATTGTTATAGATAAAAAGTATGCCTACACAAGTAAGCTGATGTGCCTATATATAAAAGCATAATTGTAAAAAAGCAATATTGTAAAATGTTAATTGAACATGAAGTTCAAAAAGTTAATATGTTTTAAATGAAGGTTGGTTTCCAGAAGTGTATCTGTGTTCTCAAAAGAGAATGGAAATGGAAAAAAACTCTTGTCTGAATTGCAAGAATCCTTTAATTTTCAGTCTTTTATTTCAGAGAAGCTGTTGTTCTTGGAAGTACTGACTTCATGGAGGAAGATGTAGAAAAAATTATAGAAGAACTTGGAAAAGAATTTAAGGGAAATGCTTATCATTTAATGCACAAAAACTGCAATCACTTTTCTTCATCTTTATCAGAGGCAAGTTTAATTTGTATAGGAGCCATTATTTTAAAAAGTAACTTTTGCATATCTTATAGACTCCTTAAGTTACCCGTGTTTCTAGTTTGCACTTGGCAAAGATAAAATATTCAATTTGCATCTCTAGAGAGATCAGTTAAGCTATCAAAGAATTATTTCATGAACACATAATCAGTTTGCTTTCTCAGACACTACTGAGGACAGTGTGGGATTTGTGCTATATATTGAAAACAATGCATAAGGAGAAAATAATAATGGAAACAGCATTGGTGACCTATATGTTTATTGTACTATTTTTTATCAGTATTACTGAAACTTTTATTAATGGACCTCCATTTCCCAGATATTTGGATGCAGTAGACCAAATTTCCATTTAGGCATCACTTTAAAATAACAGACAAGTCTGGCACATCTAATATTCTCTGAAGTGGTGTTAAAGTGACTAAAGTGATGTTAATACATGACTATTTATGGCATTTGGGGTATTATTACGACATGATACACATTACCCTCAATACATATAAGTGAAGTTTCATTGTACTTACGTTCTAATTAGTCTTTTTGGGGAAAAATTGGATGCAGAGTACACATACAATTTCAGAATTGTCAAAATTACTTCTGTCTGAAAATTAGATTTATAACTTAAATCAGATGTGTCAAACTCGTAACGTCACGTGACGTCGCGCAGTGTACGGAACGGTTTTGCCGGGCCAGCAGTTTGACACCCCTGACTTAAATTATCAGTCTGGCAGGCAATATTAGTAGAAATTTATCTTGTGCTGCATACTTGAATATTTCAATTGAGAAAGAGAAATTATTGATTTCAGATAGGAGCCCACATATAATTTAAAAAATGATTAACTTGTTAATTCCCTTTAGATTCTCTGTGGAAGAGAGATTCCTCGCTGGGTCAATCGTCTTGCCTATTTCAGTTCCTGTATTCCTTTTCTCCAGAGTTGTCTACCAAAAGAATGGCTTACACCTGCTGCCCTTCAGTCTAGTGTAAGTCAAGAGCTTCAGGAAGTCCTAGAAGAAGCAGAAGATGCTGCAACATCAGCTTCTCTGCCAAGTTCAGCATCAGGAGCGAGAACTGGCCATCATGCTAAAATATAGGTTTAATCCAAAGTTCTGTTATTTTGGAAGCTTTTTCAATAACTGGCTTCCCTTATACAATAGTAAATAGACATTTTATGGTGTCTTTGGTTTGCAATTAGAGAACTAATTCAAACCCATGGTGTTCTGCTCAGGATTTTACATGTAGTGGAAAAGTGTCTTGATGAAATGGAAAGAACTCGAGAAGAACTCAAATGCAATCTTCATTTTAATCTAATCAAATCACTTGGACTAATTGAGCAGAAGTTAAACTGTTTACAGTATTGTGTGCTGCTGTTTACAAATCCCCGAGGGATATCAGCCATTAAAAGAAAATGAATAAATTCAGTACAGCCTGCATAACTTCATCAACATCAGTGGAAGTACAGTAATGGTCAATGTTCCTTGCTACTGACTTGGAATAGAATAGGTTAGAGTATGCCTCTTCCAACTCTTGTTGGTATACAAGGAACTAGTGAATACTATGTGTAAACAGGGTACAGAATTATCAATACAAAGAATTTTGTTTAAGAAAGAAAGTCTTACTATTTAGCAGAAATGTTCCTAAAATGTACCTTCTATGTCATTTTTTTTCAATACAATGAGCAAATTTATATTTTATTACAAATATAAGTGCATTCTTTTGGGTGATAAATTGCAGTCATTTTATTTCAATTGCCTCATGCTTTTATCTGATTTGTAGATATGAAAAATCATTCTGAAATTTTCAGATAATAGTGCCTGTTTCACATATCATTTAAAATCTGAACTTATAAGATGAATACAGATAGAACAGATAAACTACAGATTCATATAAACTTGTGGACAACTTAATTTAGAACATGGTAAATAATAGGTCATTTGGAAACAAAATGTGGATTATCCACAGATGTAAAGTATTGTTAAATAGAATTCCAATTTAGAAACTCCAAGAGAAGTGACAGTTGTAATTGCCTTTCTCAGCAGCCAGATTCAAACAAAGAAACCAAATGCTTTATCCAGCTCACTGTGGTTTTTGCCGAATCAATGAGTGTTTTAGATGAATAAGTTACAGACATTTTTGTGCCATTAAATAGCAATATATACTGTGTGAACTACAAAAAAAATCAGTTACAAAAAATTTAGAGGAATGTCTTCTATTCAACGTGTTCTGTTGACATGATTTCACTGGGGTAGGGATTAACAATAGTACTGGCATCTAATTGAAATTGGGTTCAGATTTTTCTAAGAACCTTCCAAATATATGGAAAGGAATGAACTGGAAGCTGTGTTTAGACCAAGTCTTTCCAAGGCTTGCATTAGTGAAGAACATGAATTCTTGCTTGTTATTTTGACAGGCTTGCTATTATTACTTGTCTTAATTGAGAATAGCTCAATTAAGCTATTAGCTGTTCTTCTAATAACATCATTTTATGCTCCTTTGTGGATATGTTTACTATTGCAAACAATACTCAGGTATGTAACATCATCCTGGTGGAAGTAAAAAAAATCATCTAAAATGAGTATTACAATATTACATATTGTAGCCAGTCCTTTTAATAAGCAAATAAATTGTCTTACTATGTTTATGAGTTAACCAGAGTAACTTTTACTGGTTAATTTCAAATATATCTAATGTTTAAGTCCCATACTCTGTGTTCTTTAACCAATAATCTAAATTGGGTTTCTGAGAACATACTTTTAAAATCATAGAATGTTTCTCTGAAAATTGAGAATGGGATAATTTGGGTTTTCAACTAATATGGAAAAAAGATTTCCTAGTGTGGGTCTTGACATGTTAACAAAGTAAACTCTGCTCCTAATTATCCATATGCTGATGGGTAGCAATTTCTCCACTCCTTTCAAGGAAGGGTGATGCACGTATTTCTTGACATTATTTACCAGTGCCATGAAATTTTACCCATCCAGAGCTGCTGGAACTAGCTTTATCTCCATCAAATTTCTATAAAGTAACTGGCTTTATTATTAATTACATAATTATTTGATATTTTGTGTCTTTATGGTTGTCCACAACTACAGCATGTAAGGCAGGCATGTCAAACTCGCAACGTCACGTGACGTCGCACAACGTATCGGGCCGATTTTGCCATTGCCGGCAATGGGGTGGGCGTGGCTTCCACGTGATGCGTCCGGCCCGCGGGCCAGCAGTTTGACACCCCTGAGTAAAGAATGCAAGGAAATACATGGCATACTAAGTAGAAGCAATTCTTTAATAACATGGTGGTTTATTCTGATTTTATTGAACTTTTCTATTATACATATTGTGGAATTTTATAGTGACTGTATGTCCACTAACAGCTGAACTCTGAAGCTGCTATAATATCTTAGGGAATGATGGGAGTTCTATAACTTATCACGTGTGCTATATCAATTCTACACTTGATTTCTTGAACAACCTGCCAAAATCTGCTTTCCTAACTAGCAACAGTTGAAGGTATGTTTCACCAGCATTACTACTCAGCAGGGAATGCACTTCTCCCAGTTAGCCATAGTGTGCATTAAAAACACTTTCTACCTATAATACTGGATATCTCAACCTTAAAGAAAAACGGGTAGAATAAATACATTTTGGGTTCTCTGATCTGCCCAATTTCTATTTTGTTTCTTATCAAAGAGAATACTGTAGCTGTTTGGTGTTTTGTCTTATTAAAGCCATTTTTAAGATACCATTCATATTTAAGATCAAAAATTAATTGCCAACAAATGTCAGACTACACTAGTTAACTGGATGGTTTCAGTATAAAAATATGGTGAGGTTCTTCTTGAATACATGCAATACAACTCTGTTAACAACTGATGTTCACTTTTAGGTGGTTAGTTTTCACCAACACATTTTTGTAAACTAAAGATAGGTTTACTGTAATGCATAGTATTTGTATGAAATAGCAGAAGATGTTGACTTTTGTTACATTGTCATGTTTGACTATTATAAACTTGAATCCATTAATTTATTAAAAAAAGTGTTTTTTATTAAAATATGTGGTTTGATCTTGTCAATTTTAGTGTATCTTTTCAACCATTTTTCACTATTGTAAATTTATTTTTACATTTACACAAGTCAAAATATTGGTATGCTAGAATAAATAAATATTTTCCTTAGCAATAGTGGCAGAATTAAATCAGATAAATAATGAGAAAATAAAATTAAGGATCCTTAGGCCAAGTCTGTTGTAAGACATCTCATGGAGACTTGACAGAAATGACAAAAACTGTATGCTATTAAATCCTCTGACATTCAAGAAGGCACACAAACTCCAGATTATACATATACATACTGTATATACATATACATACATACATACATACATACATACATACATATATCCAAATTTCTTTTTTCTGACAGAGAGTAAAGAATTAAATTGGGAGACTAAGATGGACCATTTCTGGCTTTTTTGCCTTCATCAGTTAGCCATACCCTTTTTATGGGATTCGAACCTGGGAAGTTATACATACTAGGCAGTGATTTAGCCACTGAGCCACAGGTTCTCTTCCCCTCTTTGCCAGCAGAGTCAAGGNGTCTGATTGTGAACACCTTGACATTTTCAACTGCCATACTGCAGTTTTACTCTTTTTACAATATCTCTTGCCTTGCCGCCCCCAACTAGGGGCATAGAGCAGGCTCAAGTCGCAACTGCGAAATATTTTTATATCCAAATTTCTTTTTTCTGACAGAGAGTAAAGAATTAAATTGGGAGACTAAGATGGACCATTTCTGACTTTTTTGCCTTCATCAGTTAGCCATACCCTTTTCACCGATCTGTCTGAACTCCCTATAATTACTCCCTTGACTCTGCTGGCAAAGAGGGGAAGAGAACCTGTGGCTCAGTGGCTAAATCACTGCCTAGTATGTATAACTTCCCAGGTTCGAATCCCATAAAAAGGGTATGGCTAACTGATGAAGGCACAAAGCTAAAAGCACAAGCCTGATGATGATGAATGTGATTTCATCATTTTTCTTCCATTTGAAAATCAATGAAACAAGTGAGCCAATCCACACTAGACTTAAATACATTCCACCAGACTAAACAGGAAAAAGCATGAAATCCAGAAGTTATTTTTAGCCATTATTGTGCCTCAATGAGAAATGGAAATAAGATAGCATAATTATGGTTAAATCTAGACACAGGCTTAAACAACCTCTGTGAAACTACATTAGCCAGTAAGGCTCTGAAGACCTATCTGTTTCCCAAGGGATTCAGGCTAGGCGATTACCTTGGGGAGAGAGGCAGAAGGTGTGGTTTTAATTAGGGCATCATGAATTATATATTTATATATATATAAAATCACATGGAAGGAAAGCTCTTAAAATCCATTGGCACTGGTTAACAGCATTTATTTAGTTGTCTGTGATGCTATGTAGGTGCCAGCACTACTAGAAGATCAGAACAGAAAATCATCTCCAAAGAAAGAACAGAACTATTAATAGAATTATTTTATTGACAGGATATAACAGTGATGGCGAGCCTTTTAGAGACTGAGTGCCCAAACTGCAACCCAAAACCCACTTATGCATCATCGAGTGCAGGGTGGGTGTGGCCCATTGGGTGGGCGTGGCTGCGGTGGTAACAGCAGACTGGGTGGGACTAAAAAGTTCAATCAATTCCAACTTTGCAAGATCTTTTTTTTCCCCGCGAGAAGTTGAAATTGACTGATTGAACTTTTTTTTTTTTTACACGGCAGCGGAGGCCTAAAGCAAAAAGGTTTTATAAAACCCAGCTGAAGGCCTAGGACTGGGGCGACGGCGCGTGTGCCCATAGAGAGGGAGCTGAGTGCTGCTTCTGGCACCCGTGCCATAGGTTCGCCACCAGTGGGATATAACAACAGAACCTTGCAAAGATGACTGAACTATAAGAACTAGAGAAGTACAGCGCAGTGAATCAGAAAGGCATTTGCCTGAATTGCTTCTGAATATTATCTAGCTTCCCAGGGCTTAAAGAATATTTCACCCCTCTTTGCCTGGATAATGGTTCTTGCATATTTCCATCATGATTACTTCCCTTATTTTCAACACATAGGTTTGTGCTCATTGTGAGACAGTATAGCTATTTATTCAGGTTGTTTACCATACTAATTATTGGTAGTTTACAGTATAAGACAAAACCAAACACAAATGTTAAAGAACAATGAAAACTCTTTTAAAGGGAGATATAGCCAATATATGCCTCAATTTGGAAGAGATCATATTCCAAAGAACAAAAGCACAAAGGAATGATTCCACACCCACCATCCACCACCACCACCATTAGATAGGTTTGGAACAACCGCAATCCTTACATGGTCTTAGTAATATGGATGGCTCCCACAGAAAGGCATTATCTCCGCGTAGATTAGGCTAAACCTATATAACTTTTTAAAGGTAATAGCCAGCACTTGGTATTTCATCAAGCAATGAATTGGCACCCACTCTAATACACAATTTAATTTTGTAAATATAGAAAGGATACATGTCACTATATGCTTTACATTCCAATATGACTAAAGTTTGCTATAATAGGTACAGATGACAATCTGTATTAGTATTTCATTTGCCATGTTTTTGTATAGCAACTATTATAGTTATAACATGCATAACATCAGTGTAGAAAGAGACATTTTGGAAATCTGTTATAACAGATGTAGTATACAAATTATACTAATTAGCCTCCACAGATGATGGCAAAGAACAGGTTAGGTGATGGATTTGATTTGATAAGTTTTCATAACTTTGCTGAAATCATGAAAATTTTCATGATTTTATACATCTTAGGGTGCTGTCCTATTCAGTTAAAGAGAAATGCTAAAAAAACCTGTTAAATGTCCAGAATAAAGACCTAAGGTTATTGAAGTTACATCTGTGCCATCAGCTAGGATCCCTACCAGCAAATATCCAATTGAATGTGGAATTATTCAGGTATACTCTGATGAATATTCCTTTCTTGCAGAAATGCACAATCTGTATTTCTGAGCTGACATATGAAGTAATTCAAACAATAGTGNACAATAGTGATGTCATCTGCTTCCATAGAAACAGAATACTACTCATTCTTAGAACTTCACACACGCTGTATGTATCTGTGTATGCAATGTCTTGATCCATGAATATGTGCCAAATTCATTAACAGAAACAAGGTTAGTAAATTTTAACAATGTATAAATGTTAAGGCTTTTATTGATTAAAATTAATAATATTTTCTTGTTCTTAGAACTTGAAAGCCATAAACATTGAGAGGCCTTTTGAAGGATGACTGAATTTGTTAATCTACTAGAGCTGTCAGAAAAACTACCTCAAATAACAGCAAACATCAAAAAACTGAATGACAGATTCATGGCTTTCCTAAACATTGAAACAAAAATGCAAAGAGCAAAAACTACAAAATTAACTACAACATTAACCAATACTTGCAGCTACAGGAATTTAAAAACATTATTTAGAAGTAAAAAACAGCATGGGAAATACAAGACTGTGAAAAACAAACCTTGCAATAAAGCTAAGAAAGAGAGAAGCAAAGGCAAAATTGCATCTTTCTTAGGACTGTTTAAGAAGCTGAGCTCCTGGAGGATCAGACATAAACAAACAATTGATGAAGATCAGGAACTGATTCCACTAGATCTATTTGATATTTCTCATGAGATAATACAAGTTACCTGATATTCTGTTTGTCTTTCTAATTTAATGTTATAAACATTTTGATTTTTTTTAAAAAAAATTATTAATCTGAATGCATGTCTTTAATTTATTCAGTACATTTATATTATGCAGAACATTTTCAGCTACTACTTGAACTGATATATGTAAGCTATCATATTTAAGTACAGTATTCATTTGAGGTCATTCATCTCTAAATAACAAGTGTCTATAATAAACAATTAGATACAACTAGGGTCCTATCTTGTTTGTGTGTGTGTGTGTGCTGCCAAAGATAATTGGGTGTCTGTTGCTGGGAAAAGAACCGGATAGTCTAACCTAGCAAAACATTTTAAAGTTGAATCGGTCATCCACTCCCTTTAAAAATACTGTCACTTGGCTAAATCTGTAATATGGGTTCTCCAGCTATGCTTCACTCCAATATAATCTTGTTTTCCTTCTCCTTTTATATTCCATCTCTTTTCTCAGTAAATCTATAAGCTCACAATCAGGCTTTGTTTTTCTTGCTTTATCATTACACAGCACCTATTTAAAGATGTAACAATAAGCTTTTATATAATTACCATGAATTTATTGTGATAACACTGATCCATCAGCACATACATTTTGAACAAATTATCTACATTCAGCACAAATCTACATACAGCACAAATTATCTGCATTCCATTCATGTACTCATAGTACTATTCCTGAATATTCATGTACTAATGTAGTACTCCCTAGCAAGTATTAAGCACTTAGAATTTTGGTTGCACTATGCAGAATATGGTTCTGCAAATATAAGAACACACTATCAACACTTTTATAGTTATATTAATTGCTTATTAAATCTGAGGCTATTTTATGAAACTATCGTATACCTGCTTTCCAAATCTTTTGAGAAGTAAATTCCATTGTGTGGCTTACTCCCTGGTAAAGATGTTTAGGATTGCAGAGCTTTTCCCTTAACGTTATAAGCGGGATTATGTCTTTTAAAATGTTTTAACTTTGCTGCACTTTTTATTTCTTTGAATTATCTTAGGAATATTTTCTTACTCTTCTTGCAAACCATGTCTATGGATATTTTATTTTGCAAATGATTATCTGTACATTAATTTAAAATATAGCTAGTACTAACTATAACTAAGAGATGGGTGAGACTAGAGTTAACTTTTTCTTAATTTGCTTTTCAAATAATATGAACTTGCTTTATATACTCTTTCACCTTCCCCACTCTATCCGTACAAAGTAAATCTATGTACTTTTAAGCATTAAAAAAACTCATACTACTGTAATCATGGTAATATAAACTGGTAATAACCACCAGATGGCAGATGGACCTATATCTTATAATTGAATTATACACACTTCCTACAAATGTCAGGAATTCTTATCAAACAGTTATTTTCATTAATTTTCTGTAAGTTTGTACAAGTTATGCATAAAATGTTATCATTAAGGTATCTGCCTATAACATTTTATCATATACATATTTTAATTAATTATATCCAATATCACATCACCTCCTGATGTGGCTTTTAGTATCTTATTCTGGTATTTGGAGACTGAAGGCAGACTGAAGTTGAACTCAAAGATGTAGATTGTGTTTTATCAACACCAGTGTCATCTCTGGATGGGCTTGCACTGCTCTAAAGAACAAGTTTGCAGGGGATCTTTGGCTTATGTTTTATGTTTAATATACTATACATATTTTAATTCTTCATACCTTGGACCTTGCCAAGATTTTGGTGCACTGCCACTCAGAGACTGCTTTCAGGGGTTTTTCCCCTCAGCCAAAGCCCAATCCAGCCCTTCCTAGCATCGAGGCCAGGCATACCTCATCATCAGCAGAACAAGAAAAGGGTGAAGGTGAGGTGAGGCAGTGAAGCGCAGGGTGACAGGGATCTCAGAGTGCAGGGTAGCGAGAGCATTTGTGGCTGGGCCTGGGCTGGGGCAACTGCAATTTCCCCAGAGCCTGCTTGCCACCCTGCAGGGTAAGGTACAAGGCTGCTAAAGGGCAAAGATGGAGATGGGAGGGGGGAGCTTTGGAATGGCCCTGCAGATGGAAGTGTGGGCAAGCTGCCAAGATCCAAATTTTGATCATGTGACCACAGGGATGCTGCAATGGCCATAAATCCATTTTTTAGCACCGTTGTAGCTTCAAATGGTCACTGAACAAATGGTTGTAAGTCAAGGACTACCAGTATAAGACATTTTCTCTCCCCTACCTTCTCTCAACTTACTTGCAGTGCCTTGAACGTACAAAAAAATTACTTGCTATTTTGTGACATTTTTGTTAGTCATAATGAAAATGGTCTTACTACTGTAGGAGGAAGAATCCAGAGAAAGAAATATTTTGGGAAATATTAAAAAGGCAGAATATATTTCCCCAAAGGATTTTAAAGGCAGAAACCAACCCCCTTCCCCAAGTCTCTCTGTCCAACAGAAACCAGGTCTGCAGAAATACAGATGTGATAATCTTGTCAGAAAGATTGGAGCCAGGAAGCTTGGATTAGAAAGATAAAGATCCCTAGAATCAACAACCCCTCACACCAAAAAAATCCAACAGTCATCAGCCACGCCCCAGGGAAGCAGGATATGACCTTTGGGATATAATAAGATTAACCCACCACCATCAGAATACCAGAAAAGCACACTCAGACTCAGGCCAAAGTTCATGCCACAGGAACAACTTTCCCATCAAAAGCTCAAGAAGGTATAAAAACTCACCACTCCCTACTATACGTGGTCAGTTTTTCCCAGAGCCATCTTTTTGTCTGGCTCTCCTCTTCAATAAAATGCAACCGTCTTTCTAAAGCAGTCTCCATTTTGATTATTCCTGGCTTGGACTGGACCCTGGTGAAGATTTTTCCTTCAACACTACGGATATCTAAAATGTAATGCATTTATAGATAGCTGGAAACTGGATATAGATAAGCACTGAACGTTTTGGGAAGAGGAATTTTGAAAAGGTTCGCAAAAGACTTCAATTATCTCCACGTGACTTTTATAAAAATATTGTAATATATTCAGGCAGCATAACCTTTACCCAAGGATTTTAGAATGCAATACAAAATGGGGTATTCTTCCATTGTCTTCATAACTATTCTTTGCAGCAGGCCAAACTGTGAAAGTTATAGAATTATGAACGTGGCTCATCCTAGTCCGATATTTTAATCCAGCCTTCCCTGCACTACACTTCCAATTTTCAAGCCCGAAAGTCTATTATTCCCATAAACTCGTTACTGAGTTTCTCTAGTCATTTTATTAGAGTAAGCAACAGGGGCCTATTTAGGTGTTTTTACTTTAAAAAGATGTATATAAAAAAGATTTAACCAAGATAAAACCCAGTCGCCAAACGTTTGCACTATTAAGATTTCTTCCCAGCTTAGCTTTCGAAATATATATATTCGCTCGCTGTCCTGCGAAAACCGTTGTCATGAAAATGCATAGGACATGGGGAACATTCAGTATACCTTACGTCCTAATGCGTTCAAGAGCATTTACTCTATATAGCTATATAGCTCTCCCCCCACCCCATCCCCCAAAGCGTGCCTCATGCTTAACTTCCCCGCTCCTCTCCCATTTCCTATTATGCCGTTTTCCCGCCCTCTTCCAGCTCAGAGAAGGGAACACCACACAGCCGCGCGCCTGGCGCGCGCGCGCGCGCATGCAAACGACGCCCGCGCGCTGCTCCGTGACCCATCTCACTGAACAAAGGATTCCTGTTCGCAATCTCTAGACCTAAAATGGCGTCAGTTCAATCTCCCAACACCATAGAGATAAAGGAGAGGCCGAGTCAGGAAAAAAAGGCGGACGGGAAAGGCGAGTGGGTAGAGCGGCTGTTTTTTCAGCATAAGGCCTCTCTTGCCTATCGCGGCATTCTGACTCGCTGGTCGTAGTTCTGAGTCTGGACAGGGTGAAAAGCCCGGCGCTTATTTGATGATGGCGACGGAGGAAGAGACTAAGATTTCTAAGAAGGTAATAGAGGTGAAAGCTTCTTTAAAGAAAATTGCTTCTTCGTCGAATTGCTTCAACCACTCCAAGGTGCTCGGTTGGTCGAAACGTAGCGCCTTTCCAACCGTGAATAAGTCACCTTCTTAAGCAGTCAAGGCTAGGCGAATCTTCTTCTCTCAGTCCAGAGATACACAATAGCTCTGAACACGAAGGTTTCGGTGACCTCTCGTCTCCTCCTTTTGAAAGGTTAAATGTAGGAGACCTGGATTTAATTTTAATCTGCCAAATCTCCTTAAAAGACCAGACCCATTTTTTCCCTTCCACGTTGGGCTTGTGATAGTTGCTTCGGGAAATGCCATTGCACCCAGGCGATCCTATTTCAAAATAATAGCAATAATCCCTGCTACTCAGCATTATTTTAAAGGGGTTTTCGCTAGCAGTAGGAAAAAACAAAAATGAACGAATGATAATCAATCGTAACTGAATTATTTATATATGTTGATACAGACATACAAAGTGTAATAGTAACAACATCTTGGGGGGGGGGAATATAATCCGAATTACTGTTCTGGTGTTAAAACATTGTCCAAATTTTCCAAAGAACAAACAATTGTTATGAAGAGAGTTTTTATAAAATGTAATATGCTCAGCATTCTGGTAATTTAAATTTTTGGCAGCTGTTACATGGTATTAGACTTTTAAAGGATCTCTTAAAGCACTCTCTTAAACGTTTATTCCTTCATACTACTACTAGTTTTTCTACCATTTTCTACCAAATGCTACCATTCTAGCATTTGCATTTTAAAATTTTCTCCATTTTTCATTCTTTAATAAACATTCCCTTGAAATAAGCACATTCATCTTCTATCTTCATCCTTGTACCAAGCATTGTTTTTAATGCTTCCTGTTAGTGTAACTTTGCATGCTTCTGTGGCAATCTGTAATGCAGTTTTTGTATTCCTAACAGTTTTCATAACGTCTTTCCTTGTATCCATTTTCCTTCATTTATTTCACACATTCCAAAATACAGTTCTTGGTTCCACTGTTTGGCTCCTATAACTATCACTGAATATCAATGATAAGATTGCCAAAAGTTGGCATTGTGGTTTAGGACCATATTGAGGTAGTAAATTTATGAAAACTGAAATAAGCTCTAAATCTCCTTTCCCAAACCTTAACAAGAATACAACTCGATTATGAAGCTTACTGATTCATTCCTAGAACTGTGAAGTCCATGATCTTTTGCTCAGAAACTAATTCAGATGGGTTTCTTTAAGTTCTACAGTACTAGCAAATCTGATGTTACCAGTAATTTATGACACTACATCTCAAATCTCCAAATGTATTCATTTGAATAATTTATGCATTAAGTATAATGTATAATAATGTTAATATGACCAATCTCCTAGCACAGGGGTGTCAAACTGCTGGTCCGCAGGCCAGATGCATCACACCAAAACTGAGTCCACCCCATTGTCGGCAATGGGAAAAAAGTCACGATACATCGCAACATGTCACGTGACGTCGCGAGTTTGACACCCATACCCTAGCATCACCTCCTGCAACTTATCTACTAGAGAGTAATATAAGAGCTATCCAGCTCACAATCTATTTAATGACATCAGAGACCACTTGTAAATCAATAAAATCAAAGGAAACATATTTTCTGTATCCAATCTCAAGCATAGTTCATTCTGTCTCTGTTTCCATTTTGCAGAATAGCAATGGTTTTCACAGTCCTTTGCTTTCTGGAGGTTGTTTTAATTGCTTATAAAATGAGATGATCCGATTATTCTTGGTCTATTAGTACAAATAAATAACTAAGCAATACTATCAGAAAAATGTAAAATAACAGTATAAGTTTTAATCTACTACAAGTAACATAAGATCAATGAGTTTTACTTGTTGCAATAGTTGTTTGACTTTACTTTGTTTTTCCTGTCTTTGTGGCTCAGTGAAAAAGCTGTTTTTACCAAATTTCTGTGTTATGCTTAACTATACAACAGAAGTTGATGCCTTTTTTGAAACTGGATCTTAAACTATTCAGAGAAATTGTTCTTGTTCATTCTTGTTCAACTACATTCGTTGATCCCCAAGTATATCTTAACTATGATGTATTTGATTTTTTTTCCAGTCCTTTCTGCAGGAAATGCTGGAAATCCATAAAATTCCTTGTGCTCGACAATCATTTCTTTATGGAATATTGGGTGGTCTAGGTATAGGGCTTGGACACTTTTTGGCAACTAGTAAGTAAAAATAAAGACCTGTTAACATATAATTATATGAGATTGCATATAGTTTTATTTTTCCATTTTCCCATCATACTTTCTCACAAATTACCATGTGCCATCTATGCACCATTTTAATAACCACAGTTGACGCATCTTTCAAAGTAGTGCTTCCTTCTGTCACTCTGCATTCCTTCCTAGAAAAAGTACATATTGTCAACAATCCCTAAGGTCTGAATATTGGCAGTAAACTTTAAACTTCTAAATATTAATTAAAATTAATAGTAAAAGAATTCAGTGATCAGCCAGTCTGTTGCAATCATTAACTAGAGTCTAGACAGTCTTATTTCAACAGTTTGCGTGTTTCTCCTTTGTTTCTCCTTTATCAATTTAATATGCTCTTTGTGCTTGCCAAATAAGTGCTTTGCAGTGATGATCTCAGGTTTATTGCCTAGTTTCACTAAATCCCGTTCAACTAAAATAAGTATCCCAACAATGATCTATTGTTACCTTAAACTTCAGAAATAATTGTATTTTGGATTGATTATGTTTTACTGTTGATTTCCTGCCTTTGTGTTATTGCTGCCTGATCAATACACGTTCACTATGAATAAGATAATTCTTTTCTCATCATCAGGCAAAGTGAGACGATCCTATCACTTGGGAGTAGGAGGTTTCTTTGTGACGACGTTAGGATGCTGGTGGGTATGATGATTCTAAAATTATGATAGCTTACTGTTTTAAGATTGATCATGCTCTAATCATGCAAACATTTTTTTTCTACTTTTATTAATAATCACACTTGGTACTTATTTATTATCGTTTGTGGTAAGATTTCCTTATTACCTGGAACAGATGTACTTTCCACGCATCAGTCTGAATTTATACCCAGTTCTCATTGGCAACAATAACCACATTTTCTTACATAATTTCCATATAGAACTTGGGTTTATTTCATAATTGGCATCAAATTGTGATTCTGAAATTGGTTGTTGTGAGCCACCCAGAGTTGTTTTTTGATTGGCAACCATGGAATTTTTTTTAATCAAAGTAAATAAGCTTAAAATTTCCAACTAGTTGCTGTTCTTTAAAAAAGGCTATTGCAATGAAAAAAGGGGTAGGCATATCTGTTCTCTTTTGTTGTGTAGTAGTGGGGAAAGCGTTGGAAATAACTTCCATGGCAAGATCTTGTGGAAGTCTGACATTTTTGTACTGACACAGAAAACAGAAATATATAAATAACCATAAAATATTTTTACATATAGGATAGAGCAGTGATGGCGAACCTTTTAGAGACCGAGTGCCCAAACTGCAACCCAAAACCCACTTCTGCATCGAGTGCCGGCTGGGTGTGGCCCATTGGCTGGGCGTGGTTCATTAGGTGGGCGTGGCTACGGTGGTAACGGCAAACTGGGTGAGACTAAAAAGTTCAATCAATCAATTCCAACTTTGCAAGATCTATTTTTTTCCACGAGAAGTTGAAATTGACTGATTGAACCGTTTTTGGGTTTTTTTTGGCACATGGCGACGGAGGCCTAAAGCGAAAAGGTTTTATAAAACCCAGCTAAAGGCCTAGGACTGGGGCGACGGTGCACGTGCCCACAGAGGGCTCTGAGTGCCGCCTCTGGCACCCATGCCATAGGTTCGCCACCACTGGGATAGAGAAAAATGTTATGTAGCATGTGCTTTTTAAGTTTTAGTGTATGTCAGACAACAGCTGGACTTCTTATTCTCTCTTATCCATACTTTTATTTTTCTTCCATCTAGTTTTTTTGTAATTGCTGAAATAAAGCAAACAAAATATAATAATGCAAGTGATAATGTGCTTTTTTAAAGGTTCTATTGTAGATACAGCAATGCAAAACGAAGATTCCAGCAACGCATGGTTCAAGAAGCGATAAAAAACAAGATACTGTTTGAAGGAACTGAGTTTGATCCTACAATGAAGAAGGAAACAAATCATGAAAAAAGCCGTTAAGTTTTGGCAATGCCATTAAACTATTTTGTACCGATTATGTGCAATTACAGTATGAACTTTACTGCAATTTGATAAAACATTTCTTTATTGTGAAATTCAGTTTTTTATTCTCATTTTACCACTGTATGTAAATATGCTGCTTTGAGAGCATGGTAGAAATCTTTCAAAGTAACGCATTCTAGCAATGTTTTTTCTGATGAATTAAAAATATAGTAATAGCACATTGAAAGCTTTATCCATTGGACAAAATAGCAAAAACTAAAGGACAATAGTGGTTACTTTGCTCTTAATGAAGTACAGCAGTCTTTTTTTAAATTTCTCACAGCTACTGCCTGTGTGCAATTTCCCTGCTGTTCTCAGTACCTATTTTAATAGGAAATGGAAAAGCACTGTTTGCCTGAACTCATGTTACAAAGTACAAATATATTTTGATGCTAGAACTTTTGATGATCGTGCAAAATATTTACCGGATTCTGTTAGCCATACCTCTGTTCTGTAGATTTCAGTCTTTTTCTAAATTGCTATTTGTTTTTTGCCTTTTTAGAATTTTTCATCTGTAAAGGTGCAGTGTCTGAGGCCCTTAGTTTCTAAGAATTGTTGCTTGATTTATATACAGTAATGCGCATGGATTTTTTTTATTTGAAACATTTCCACTGATGAGAGCCAGATGTAGCTGGATGACATCGGGCCAAGTCATTCCTTCAGTCATTAGTGCAGGCTTTGCATCAAGCTGGTGTATGCATAGCATGTATCTACCACCTATCACTTTTTTAAAATTGGCATTCTTTGTTATAAAGGATCCAAATAGTTGAAAATACATTTTACCAAAGTATACTAGAATATATTGTTACTGATCTCTTGATGACCTACTGATCTTGTGGAATATTTTATTGCTAAAAGAAAATGATTTGTCTCAATTTTAATTGAAAAAATGTACACCTAGTAAAAAAACATAGTATGTTCAGTTAATTGCATATTGGTGTACAAAGTATTTGTAAAGAACACAATAAATTAATGAATGTATGCTTTTAACTCAGTACCTTTTTCCAATGCTTTCAAGTGCACTAAGAAATCATGTAGTAAATATCTAGCAGAAGATGCTGAGTTTCTTTGCCTAGCAGTCATCAAGTTGCAACCACTTTTTTTTTACATATCCCAAACTCTGTAATGATTAATAAATCTTACTAAATCTTAAATAAGAGGTCCTTGATGCTCTGGGCTTGTTTTCTTGCATTTAATTACCCAAACTAGGTAACATCATCAGTGCTAGCAGATCTGCAAGAAAACAAGCAAGCTCGGTGAGCATCAAGGACATCCCTCATTTCAACCCCGAGCTGCAAATATTCTCCTTTATTGGTAAATCTTAGGTTCAACTGATTTTTGATAAGGATTGTAAAGACTGTTGGCACCTGTATAACTTGTCAACTGGAAATATAGCATTTTTTTTTGTATTCATGTCCATCAGTCTAGAATCTAGGCATGTCCAAACTCAATCCAAATTAAAAGGAATATAATCACTAATAGGTGTTTTTATGCAGCAGCTTGCATTCCACTCTATTATTTTCCCAAGCCTGGGAAGTAGCTTTAGCCAAGTTATTGACCCAAAGTTATGCAGCAAGCCTTTTGGCAGCGAATAGGACTTGAACCAGGAACTTCCCAGCCCGAATCCAATACCTTAACTTTTATATTGCACTAGAACATGGTATGAAACACTCCAGAACATTTTGTGGAGGCTGGTCTGTTTTGTTATAAACAGTTAATTCTTGGGAACCTAAAGAAAAAGTAACTAGTTAATTCCATTTTCAAGTTATAAGCCGATAGAATAATAGTATTTACATGTTCTACATTTTGGATTTTAGTCCATAACCTCGATTAGAATAATAGTATTTACATGTTCTACATTTTGGATTTTAGTCCATAACCTATTAGGAACCAGGTTGCACAACTAGAAGTGAGCAGCTGGTGAGCGAGTGAAACCATCCCTCCCGATCTGTGGGAAAATTGTCTTCCACACTGATGCCTGGTGTCAAAAAGGTTGGGGATCGCTGGCCTACAACACATTTGTTACTTATTCTGAATTTATATGGCCTATCTGAAGTAACTGCAGCTAACGAAGCATAAAACAGTTAACACGTATAAAAATAAGACTTGTAAAATATTTATCTGCGCTAAAACACATAAACAAAATACAAAGAGGGACTTGCTAATATCTTGGCTCTAAAGCCCAAGTAGCATGGTTTTCAGGCTCTTCCGGGAAGCCAAGAAAATTGAGACCACCTGAAACTCAGCAGGAGCCTTTTTTCACAAGACTTCCAACAAAGGCATTGTCTTTTAGGTCCCACAAGAAAATATTGTTTCATATAAGAGATCTGGAATATATATACACTGCCAGATCTGGTAGAACAGGCAGAAATCATTGGTTTTAGGACCGTCCCCCACCCCGGTTATTTTGGCCTTGTGCTGTGCAGGGTTTAAAGGTGACAACCAGCACACCATTCGGAAACTTATTGAAAACAAATACAGCTCACTTCAGCGGCATAATGCCTGCATTGCTGCTTTCTGGACTACCTCATTTTTGAATGTTTTTCAAGAGCATGCCTAGGGAATACATTGTAGTAATCCAACTAGGAAGCAACTACTAAGGCATGAATTACATATATTGATCTGAATTACGTATATTGATCATATATTGATCTGGTGCAAAGTGGATGTGTGCAAAGATCCTACTAGCCATGTTGCCACCTGCTCCTTGAGCCAAAGCCAAGAGAATTGTGAAATTATGTAGTGTGTACATATAAAATAGCTGCCCCAAAATTTACTTTTCAAAAACCAAAGTAGTTTCCCAAATGTTTTCTACTTTCTCAAAGGGACTTTTTAAGGACCAAACACATCCCTTCAAAAAAGGTGTTTTCTTTACAAGAAAACCAATTTTGATATTAACATGTCCACGGGTATCACATTGCGAACCCTCATGAATGCAGACTGCTTCATTGGGTAGTTTTCTAGAAAAGTGTATCTAGGAATTTGTTCATGTTAGTAAATATTGTAGAATAATGCTGCTAAGTTTGAACAGAATGCATGCACTAAGCTCCCAAAAATCCATCCAAAGCATTCCAAAATCTTTCTTAGCCCAAATATGAAAGGGAGAGGAATAGAAGGGAAAGGCACAAAATACGACAAATAAATTAGGGAGAAATGATTCTCAGGCGTGCCTAAAATTTATTAAGGCCAAGTGCATTTTGGGAAACAAATCTTTTTTTCAATCAAAATAAATTCTTCTATTACTTGTTTTAAAGGACATCAGTATTTTGCTGAAAGATTAAAATCTATGGATAACATGTTTCCCAAAAACTAGAAATGCTGAACATAGTACATGCAAACCATGATTGCCAACTTAATGGAATTCACGATAAAATGCATAAAAATGTCCACTTTCATTTACTCCTGCTAAACTCAATTCTGCATTATTTGTCTATACCCACCCTCCCAAAGCAATTCCTTTCTGCAACTAATTTTATCTGTATTAAACTAGTCACAGTTCTGCAAAATTCTGATAATGAAATTAGGAGTTTAAGCACTGCTAAGTGGACATAAAAAAGCCATAATCAGCTTTAGTGTAGTAACTTGCAACACAGGAATTCAAACTGCAAAAATAATAGACAGGCATATTTCCATATCTTCTATTAAAATGACAATTTGCGTAGGATTCTCTCCCATGTCATAGGATGTGGAGAGCATACATTTTGAGCCTTCTCAGAAATCAGATTACTTTGAACATTGAAGCTAACTGATTCATTAAAGGGATTTTAGACTAATGTGGTGAGAATCCCAGAATAAGAGTAAAATGATTTTATTTTATTGCAAACAAACGGCTAAAGTTAATTTCTCCACCCACTTTCTTTAAAGTAAATCAGCAGGCTAAGGAGACACACCCATCTGAAAACTAACATGATTAAAAATTAGATATAAAATGGGTGAATCACAAGTTCATTTGTTTACAAAATGGTGGAGTATACTACTACAAGCACACTAAATACACAATTTTGTGGGGAAAGGTTACAAACACACAGCTAACTTCATATAGATCCCATTAGACAACTGGATTTACAACAAGTTTGTTTAATAAGAAATGGGCAGAGCCAGCTTTTTCAGAATCAAAATGCAGAACAATGGAAAAAAGTTTTTGATGGTGTGTACCTTCACAAGTTGAGCCTCTACAGACAAATGCAACCAGATTAGATGTGCACTCCACCTTCACTATTTAGCTTTAAGGTTTGTTTTACCTCTTCAAAAACCATTGCCAGATTAAAACAACAGGAATATCCCTTTCTTTATTGCCAAAAGACTGTTTTGATTTTTCTTCCCTCTTCCATACCTAAAAACTGCGTAGAGAATGGAGTGGAAGATGGAGTGTAATGAATATTATTTACATTGTATTATTTGGGGAGGGGAGGCACAAAAAAGCCTGGTTGCTAAATATTCTGTTTTGATGACTCACGACTGTTTCCTAGAAATTGAGGGGAGGGAGGGGAGAAAAAAAAATCTTTAATCAGAGGACACCAGATACAAAGCAACATTTTACTTTTGTTGTGGTAAAAAAAATCACATTTTACAGATAAAATGTAAGAACCCTGAAATACTGACACATTCGCTTATCGTGCACAATGCTGAGGTTCTTTTAAGATTCACTTTAAAACTGCAATTAAAAAATGTACAAAAAAAAAAACCAAAAACCAAAACCCACAAAGCTTCTAAAAAAGGAACCTGCAGGCACTTCCTCATGTGGAATGTTTAAAAAGTTAGCCTACTAAAGAAAACAGTCGATTTCTTGTGAAGGTTTTGAAGAAATATGGATCAGTTCATTTTTATTTGGGAATTCAATAATATCCTTGGTGGTAATGCTGACTCCATGGCTTCTGACCCCAGAATTGCTGTAAAAGAACAAAGAGAACACAATGTTATATCAAATTTAAGTTTATGGTTTACTTATGAGTCTTATAAAAAGAAAGAATGAGGTATTTACAAACAAAAATTAGATTTTAATTAAAATTGAGAAGCACACTTACACCCTGCTGCCACTGGTTGTAGCCCTGAGATTGATTTTTGTAGCCACGATTGTTTCCCCTTCCTCTGAAATTCTACAGCAAAACAAAAATGGGTTAAACTGAGCTATCTGTTGAACACTAACCTGTCAATCCAATCAAGTTGTTTTAGTTGAGAAAAATAGGTTTTGTATTCCAGCTGGATATAAATTCTGTCTATTAAGAAAATGCTAAACTTATTACTAAAAGCATGTCCCCAATATACCCTAGTATATTTCTTATCAAGCACAAGAGCCATAAACCATTTAGAGAGAACCTAAAAGCTTTGTTCAGGTTAATAGCTGTGATTATACTATGTGATACCACACTAAATGCAAAAGAAATGTACTATTTTATAAAAAAAATATACTGAGTCAATCTACAAGTTAACAGTTTAGGAATAGATCCATTTAACTTAATAACCGTTATTTGAAAAAAATGTAGGGATTAGGAAACCAACTGATTGCACATTTGTATTAACACTAAATGTGATTTGTGCTCAACTATTCTATGGTTGCATTTGTTATGTTTATGTCTTTATAAACTTAACCATTTGGAGTCTTGCACACAAAGTAGCATTACAAATAATGATATCATTATTTATTAGTATATCATTCTTTGATTAGAGATAACTGGAATCAGATAACGCATGTAAGGAAAAAAACCTGATTCAAAGTAAAAGTAATTGAAACATAAAATTTTAGACATACTATTAGCAATAGGCTCATTCGAGTTTAGTTATCAGAGCTACATACTACTTTTAATTAAATGTAGATTACTGAAAGCAAATTATTTAAGAAAATAAGACCACATCTTCTTGGTTTTAACAACACATTACCTGGTTATAGTTCCCTCTGTTGGGCATTCCACCTCTGTTATAATTTCCTCTGTTTGAATAGCCTCCACCGCCACCTCCTCCTCTTACTGGGAAGACAGGACCACGAGGATATG